AGAGCGCTTTTCAACCCTTCCCTGTGGTTATTTTTTTTTTTAAGTACTCTCTCCTAGTTTCTCACAGGTGTCTCTCCTTTATTCAGGAGTGGCTATGAGTCCGCTTCCAAGCGCTTCGATCCAGCTGATGTGGAGGTGAACGTGGCTGGAAGATCCTTTCTGGTCACCGGTGCAAACAGTGGCATTGGCAAGGCCACAGCTACAGAGATAGCGAGGAGAGGTGAGCGGGCTGTAACGAGGAGCCTGAGGGGTCCTTACAGAAAAGGTGGAAGGGAGCAGCTTTGGCCTTCCAGCGCAAACACAAAGATGCACCTCCCTGGGATGAAGGGTCAGGCGTGTTATTTTACAGGGCTGTTAGTGTGGGTTAGAGGTTTAAGCATGATCAGTGCTGTGTAAAACTGGAGTAATGAAACAAAATTAGCGGAGAGGATATGCAAAGTGTTTCTCAAGTACATGTTTACCGAAACCGTCTGTATTATGGTGGCATCTAAGGATGCTGGTGACAGATCAAGGTCTGTTTAAGGCTGATTTGGTACAAGTAGCAGCCTGGCTGAATTGGATCTGTTTTAAAGAACTTACAACTGTATCGTATGAATAAAGAAAACAATTGGCTTTGCTAAGCTGAGATGGGAGAGTATAAAAGAAGCAAAGTAGTTGTCCTTGATCTTAATAATAACCTGGCCTTTGTGCCCTTTAACTGATTACATGCAACCATTTTTTTCTGTTGCTCTCTGTAAGCAAGGAGATGGTATGAACTGGAACTAGCTACTGTTGAAGGATAAACGTAATCCCTTTCAGACTTGACAAAATAATTCCTGTTGTGCAAGAGTGATAGGAATTTTGGCATGTAGAATAAAAGGGAGGAGCTTGTGGCTCTTTGCTCTCTTTTGGCCTGCTTAGGTTTCGTAACTATCTTATGAAGGAAAGTGGTGACTCGGTTAAATTAAACTAATTCAAAATTATTAGCATCAAAGAGCCTTTGGGTTAAAGATCCCCATTAGTGCCAGTATGTGATTGATTTCAGGTTCCCACTACTGCCATTATGTATAATAGCCTTATGTAAGTATTGCTTCGTCTGGTGACCATTTTGCTCACAAATGGGTATGCCTGCCAGGTTTTGCAAGCTGTCAGGCTGACTGGATCTGCATAGGATTTGGTCATCGTGTCTAGTATTTGGAGCCCAAAGAACAACCTTGGGCTCAGGCTGTTTGTCCGATATCTTTCGTGGGTGTTGCTGTGCATATGAAGTTAAAATGACTTAACAGTGTCTTCCTGATCCTATCCTTGCATGTGTTGCTCTGAAACTCAATGTCAGCTGTTGGGGCTCTGGCTTCTAGTTGAATTTCTTCAAGTACACCATGACAAGGAAATAAGAAATTCTGACTCGGCAAAAGAGTAACCAAGCTGCATTGGGTTTACCTTCAAGCACTTCAGATCTTTGTAAATAATGACGGTCTCGATGATAATTTCTTTAGCCTGAATTCAGCTTTTCTCTGAATCAGTGTCTTACAGGTATAGCAGATTTGGGCTTTCTTTCCTGTATCTCATGTGAACTGCACATCCAGTCTGATGCAGTCTTTTTCCAACCACTCTGACAATTCCCATGTGTTGTTTAAGTTCAAATAACTTCAACCTTTACCATGGAAAATATATTTAAATCCCTTTCCTAGCCCATAGGTCACACCAAAATTTTCCTCTCTCCTTAAAAGCAAGGAAAAAGTTCATATTCAAAGCCCTTAAAACCCACCTCTGTTTTCATTGAATGTTTTCCACTGTAGACTATAAGAATGTTCATGATCAGCTTGAAGGCCAGCTACTTCTTTCATGTGTTTAATTTCTACCTGCACACATTACTTGTGCTGTCCCCTGTGTTTTGGGAAGAGCTCCTTAAACATCTGTAAATGCACATCCTTAACTGCCTTACGATCTGTAATTAAAGCCCTCCTTTGCGGTGAAGCCTGCAGTCACTGTGAGAATGGCTGAAGAGGTGAGCATTGCACACTGGTTGCCTTTTCTCTCACTCATGAACTCTGCCCTCCCTGGGACAAAGACTGTCTTTTGTTCTGATCTGTATGTATTCAATGCCTGTCTGTGCACGGTCACTGCCATGCATGGTATATGTGTAACACAACCTGAAGATGAAACTGTATTGGTTAGTGTCATTTGTGTGATTATCCCAGATTCAGGAGTTTCCCACTGCTGCCTGCGGTTGTGCACTTGGTGAAAGTAACCCAGCCAGTTCTGGCAGTGCAATGGAGGAATCGGACCCTGTTAGAAAATTTCAGAAGAACCTTGAGGCTTGCTGCCTGCATCAGCTACATGCCAAGTGTACTTACTTTAGTTGTGCTTAGTGGAAGAACCTCTCTTGTAGACAGAAAATTTCATTATCAGACCCCACACTGGGCTGTGCAGTGTGTGACTGCTTTATCCCTAGGGTAGACTTGATATCTTGCGTTTGGGTTCTGAGCACTAGAAGAGTGACCCAGCACCATTGTTTCTATTATCAATCCTTTGGGATTACATTGCTTAAGCCTTCCAGTGATGGACTGCTAGCAACCCCTAAAACACCTTTAACAATAAGTAAAAGTAAAGAGTGCAGGTGTGACTGAGATTAACACATTACTTGTAATGATCAGAGAATACAGAGCATAAAAAGGAATTATGCCTACCTGTACTTTGGTCCTCTTTTTGAAGGCTCTCTTTAATGTGGCTGAACTATGAGGTCATGATAAGTATCCAGGCCTTTGAGAGGAGCCATGCCCTTCGTATTTCTTTCATAGAAAAGTTGGTTGGAAGGGACCTCTAGAGGTCATCTTGTCCAGCATCCCACTTGAAGCAAGACTGTTGCCAACACTAGATCAAACCAGCCATTGCTTTTTCTTGCTGGATCTTGAAAACTGTAAGAATGGAAATCATGCATCCTCTTGTGACAGCCTGATCTATTTAGAAGAAAACTAGTGAAAACTTTTTCTTAATGCCTGACCTGAGCCTTCTAAGCTGCAGTTTGTGGCCACGGTCCTTGTCATATCTCCCATTGCTGAGAAGAATTCTGATATCTGGCATTTTTATTTCCTTTTCACAGAGCAATTCCAGTCACTTGTGGTGTTCAGGCCATTCACTGAACTTTCTAAGGCATGTGCCAAAAGAAGCATTTACAATACAGATGCCTTAGCTTCAATTTCCAATGTAGCTCTGGTATTTTATCAACACTAAACAAGACGTGCAATATTGACAGAAAATGGTTTGAGCAGGCAGTACCTAGAGCGCAGTGGCCTTTTCCATACATGCAGCCTTGGGTGAGGACCCTGTTGCAGCATGATACTTTCTCCTTCCTGGCTGCCTTCACAGGGACCACAGCCAAGCAGAAATCTTCCAGCTTTCTTATTATAGCCACTCTTTGTGTCCTAAACCTTTTGTTTGAAGGACCTTTAGCGCAGTCTTTTGACAGACCCTGTTGGGATTCTTGGTGTGTCCAGTCTGCCTGATGGTACTGCTGGGTCAGTGCCTTTTGGGGGGAATTTGTCTCTGAGAATGGCCCAAGGCTGGTGGACCTGGGGCTGCTATGGGGTGTCATGGCCCTAACCAGCTCCTTGCTCCCAGCTCATCATGGCATGGAAGCCGTGAAAGCTGCACAGACCTGAGCTTCAGCAGCATTGACGAAAAGTCACTGCTCAGCTCTTGGCAGCAGAGAAGCAGGACTGTTGGCTATGCACAGCTCAGGAACATTCTGCCTGCTGGGAAGCTCCCGTGGTATTTCAGTGTCCATCTGACCAGTATTGCCACTGCTGCTAGCAGGCTATAGATTTCCCACAAACTGGAATGCAATCGCAAAAGGTTTTTTTTGTTTCATTTGGATTGTATCAAAAACTAACCCCAAACAAGAACTGCAATTTGCACACCACTCCCTGGCCCTCCCTCTTTGCTGATGCCTCCCCCAAACACAGTTAGTAATTAATTATCAAATGTGTTTCTTGCCGAAATCCACCAGGTGGCACGGTTCATCTGGTTTGCAGAAATAAGGAACGGGCTGAGGTCGCCAAAGGAGAAATAGTGACGGAGACAGGCAATCAGGTGAGTTGTTTTAAGGTCTTTGGTTTACTCTTAGAAAATTGTTAATACTAAAGACCTCAGAGGCCTTGAGATGTTCTGTTTCGTCATTTTGCTGTTGTGTTTTTAATAGTATTTTCATACAGACATGGAAATATCTAGTAGTTTATCATCCGTACAGTTTGAAGTAATTTAATTTCACTAGGTGACATTTTCTGTGATTAATAATATTACCGGCAGCATGCTGTTTTATTTAATGTTTGTTGTCGATATGTTTTGTGAAGTCCTACTTACTATTCCTAACTATGTGTCTGAGGCTTTTAAAAGTTAATGCATTGCAACACTCTCGCAACAACATTTATGAGTTTACAGCATTGGAGTTGAAGGTTTTATGTGTCTGAATAACATGCTTTTGATTTGCTAACGTTGCCTGCTCTGTGAAGTCCTGTGTGTGGTCCTAGTTCCATGCTCTACAGAATTTTCCATCTCCTTTTCTCACATCTCTTCCTTACCTCCTCCCTTCTGTTACAGATTTTTTTTTGCTTCTGCATATATTACTCTACAGTATACCCCTGTAGCTGTCACTGTTGCTTTTGCTAATTATTCAGGAGGGTGTGCTTATGGAGAAGTACAGTCATTGTCTTTCTACCTTGGTGTACTGGTTTTGGCTGGGATGGAGTTAATATTCTTCATAGCAGCTCCTGTGGTGCTATGTTTTAGATTTGTGACCAAAACAGTGTTGACAACCCATGCTTTAGTTATTGCTGAGCAGTGCTCGCACAGCGTCAAGGCCTTTGCTGGCTCTCCTGCTGCCCTGCTAGTGAGCAGGCTGGGGTGCACAAGAAGTTGGGAGGGGACACAGCTGGGACAGCTGACCCCAACTGACCACAGGGATATCCTATACCGTATGACATCATGCTCAGCAATAAAAGCTGGGGGAAGAAGGAGGAAGAGGGGACATTCGCAGTTATGGTGTTTGGCTTTCCAAATCACTGTTGCATGTGACAAAGCCCTGCTTTCCTGGGGATTGCTAAACACCTGCCTGACAATGGGAAGTAGTGAATGAATTCCTTATTTTACTTTGTTTGCACACAAAACTCTGCTTCACTTATTAAACTGTCTTCATCTCAACCCACAAGTTTTGTCTGTTTTACCCTTCTGATTCTCTCTCCCATCCCACTGGGAGGGGAGTGAGCGAGTAGTTGTGAGGGGCTTAACTGCCTGCCGGGGTTAACCCACAACACTTGGATGGAGAGCTATCTTCATTTTAAATAGTGACTTGGCTCTTGAACACAGTATTTTGATTCCAGTAACAATCTTTAATGTGGATCAAAATTCTGAAGACTTTTTATGGTTAGAGATACCGTATTGACTAAATTTCTGCTCTTTGGTTTCGGCTCCCTGGTGTGACACAACCAGCATTACACTTCAGTTCTTTAATGGAGGTGAATTAGATCAGTCCTTATGTAGAAATAAATACTTTCCAGCTGTCTATAAGTGTGTAATCCCATGGCTGTAGTAAGATTGGTGATTATCTGTGTTACCTCCTTTTCTAACTGCAGTCAGGCAGCCTGGGAAGAGGGGTGAGTTTGATGACCTCTGAAGGTTCCTTCACGTTCTGTTTTCTGTCATTTGGCGAAGCAAAACTTGAGGCAAATAATCTTCCTTCCTCTAAAAGGAGCACAATCGCTGCATTCCCACTTTTTGGTAGGCTGCAAACCTGTAGTTTCTCTAGTCATGAAAGAGTATGAGGGCACTGCAGAACTTGTGCCCTGTCTTCAGGGTCATACACCTGTATAGAAAGCAGCATTCAGTGAAGTGTTAGAAGAGCTGTGCAAGAGGCCCTGTGGGACATGTGACTGCACTGGGGAGAGTTATTTTAATAAGGAGTCCACAAGAACATCCTTCTTTATAAGTACTCATTCAGAAGCAATCCAGGGAGATAATAAAATGCTTTATCTGCAACTTGACAAGCTGTATCCAGACTTAACTTGCTCTTCCTGATTATCTGAACAGAGATTCTGTTGCAGTATACGCCAAAGATTTTCTCCATCTTCTGCAGCAACACATGCCAGAGTTCAGTGCTGAAATGGAGTTATTACTTGGCAGGCACCTGCACCTAAACCTGGGAACTGGGAAGTTCTCCTAATCTGTTAAAGTAGATGTAGTCACGGAGATTAGGTCTCACTTTGAAAATGGCTTTGCTACCATCAAGGACTTTTATAGGTAACAGGCCTGGGGGTCCTTTTTCTGAGCCAATGTGACAGTCTTCAGCAGATAAGTGTTAATTTAGATATTTTTCAGTCTCTGAAATCACTTGTAATATTGAACATCTGCCCAAAAACTTCAGCTCTTCTGTTCCAGTAGATAATGGTAGTAGCTTTAAAAGTAGAAAGCTTTTGGAGAGGTATCCAGTTAGAAACAGTAGAGCAGTGTCAAGTTTTTGGTCAGAAATTAACATTACAATGAGAAAATTCTGACCTAACTCAGCTAAGGAGCTGAAATCCAATGGCTAGAGAGAAAAAGTCATGTGTTTTTTATCTGCAGGGAAGCAGAATTGTAGGCAGGGAATAATTTTCTCAGCTTCTTCACTTATCTCATTTGCTTGTATAATGAGTATTTAAAGAAACAACTTGGAAAGAGGAGGTCCTTTAATGATTATTTGTTGTTTTGTATAAGAACACATCCTCTGCATAATTACTTTAGAACTGCCTTTTCGTGGGATACGTCATAAGTCTATCTGTGGTGTGTCTTTGAGACTAAGTGCTATTTAGGAGAAGAGTAGGAGTTGACATGCCTTTTGTATGCTGATAAATGCCACTGTGCTTGTACTAGGTAGAACACAAATCTGCAAAAAGTGAGAGAATTGCCTGTAACAAACAATAAAAGGTTTTTGATGTTTTGGAGAGAAGAAATATTTCTAGCTTTAGTGGTTTAGAAAATTATAACTTTGCTCTATGTCAAGCTTTCCTTTTTTCTTTTTTTTTTTTTTTCACTCTATTGCATCCACATTCCTGGCTGTAGTATTTCAAAACACTGCGAGACTGTTGTGACATGGGATGGCTAACAAGGACTTAGCAGTTAGTGTGGAATGGGGTGCAGAAGGCACCTGACGCTCAGAGACAGCTGGAGTGGGTGCAGTGATGCACCTGAAAGCGTGCTCTCCTGCCCTGGTTGGAGCGACTGCGCCTGGCACGTGGGAGGCTGGCCCAGACAGAGCTCCAGAGGAATGATGTGGGAGATGTTAGGCTGCAGCGAGTGATCGGTACTTTTCCGTGAGCCTGGGGCAGAGCATGATGGTGGCCTCATCTGTCGGGTTCTGCTGTGGTCAAGGTGCTGGGCTGCTAGGTGAAGTGACAGCAGGAGACGAGCAGGCTGCATAACTGTAGGGAACAGAAACAGGAGATTGACAGGGTCTTTGCAGAGTAAAAGAGAACAGGCCCCACACTGTGTGGAAGGAGGGACAACTAGAAGCGATGCTTGAATAAGCGGTGACACTGCTAAGATGGGGAGGAATGGAAGCTTGTGACTGCTGGTAACAGAAGGCAGGCTAGTTCTCTGGCTGCAGATGTGCATTTATAGGATAGGTATAGTGCCATGGTAACAGATGAGGAAAGAACAAGCTCTGTCAGGGGAGGTGTTGGAGACGGATGAGCCTGAACCATCATCGGCACTGGGAGGAAGTGGTGGGTGATAATGGCTGGAGGGTCCCACCTGTGGGGGATGGAGGCACCCCTCTGCAGTGCTGGCTTGATGTCTTGAGAGGTTTGTCACTTGCTGGGGACTTAGATCGAGGGTATTGTGGAAAGACTGCAGAAGCTTGTCTGGACCTTGGACTAGTACCTTTTATTGCCCAACCACATGGGCACCGATGACATTGTGAGGGGTGACCTTGAGATCATCAGGAGTGCTTACAGAGGCTGAAGGGCACGGGGGTCCAAGCAGTGCTCTCCTAAATCCTTCCAGTGAAAGGGAAGGGCTTGGGCAGGAGCATATGCACCCTGCAGGTCAACACCTGGATGTGCAGCTGGTGTCACTTTGGCCTTTGTCACTTTGGTCTTTATGACCTCTTTGACCTTCTCTGGGAAATGAACATTGCTGAGCAGGAGTGAGAAAGTGGAGCAAGAGTATCTTTGCCAACAGGTTTGCTAAGCTAGTGAGGAGGGCTTTAAACTGGTTTCATTGGGGGATAGTGACCAAACCCAGAAGAGGAGTGGAGTCATGGGGGCAGTGAGTATGTATGTAGGGGACAGGAAAATGGAGGAGGCTCTCACAGTTTTCATGTGAAAGCAACAGGACTGGGATCCCATCTCAGATGCCTGTACACGAATACACGTAGCATAGGAAACAAACAGGAATCCATGCATGGTTGCAGAGCTGTGATCTCACTGGGATTAGAGAGAGATGGTTGGCATGACTAGAGTGCTGGAATGGGTGTATACAGGCCCTTTTAGAAGGGCAAGCTGGGAAGACAAGGAGGAGGAGTTGTGCTTTATGTAAAGGAGTGGCTTGAATACATGGAGCTTGGCTCTGAAATGGGTCATGGGCCATGTGTGAGAGCTCATTGGTAAGGCACAGAGGTCAGATCAATGTGGGTGTCTGCTACAGACTGCCTGATGAAGTAGAGGAAGTAGATGGAGCCTTTTTTAGAGGGCTTGGAAAGCCCTGTGATCACAGGTCCTGGTACTCATGGAGCACTTGAACCACCCTGCTACCTGCTGGTGACACAGCAGGGTATAAACAATCCAGATTTCTGGAGAGTGTCAAGGACAGTTTTGTGATGTGAGTGATGGACAAGCCAGCTAGAGGCGATCTCTGCTCGACCTGCTGTGAATAGCAGCCTTGAATAGCTAGCTGCCTTGGTGGAAGTGGCCATGAGACTGTGGAATTTAAGATTAAGACAGGCGAGAAGGATGCGTAGTAGAATTACAATATTTGGTTTTAGGAAAGCAGATTTTGTCTTTTTTATGGGCCTGGTTGTCAGGATCCCATGGGAGACAGTCATGGAGAGCAAAAGGCCTTGGGAAGGCTGATGATCTTCAAAGAAAACCTCCTCAAAGTGGGAGGTGTTTCCTGTTAACTGGAAAAATGCAAACCACTCTTCTTCAATAAAAGGCAGGCAGGATTTAGGGAACTACAGGCTGGTCAGCCTCACCTTGCTCCCCAGGAAAACTATGGAGCAAATCCTCACAGAAGCCATGAAAAACAGTAAAGTGACTGGGGAAAAAAATCCAGTGTGGATTTATCGAGGGTGAATCTGGCCTGACCATTCTGATTGCTGCTTTTGGTGAGATGACTCTGCCAATATGCAAGAGGAGAGCAGTGCATGCCACTTTCCTTAAATTTGCGAAGGCCTTTTACATGGTCTGCCATAGTATCCTTGTAGCGAGTTTGGAGAGATGTGGTTTGCACTGGTGGATGGCAAGCTAGGTGGAAAACTGTCTGGAATGTTTGACTCGGAAACTAGCAATCAACAGTACAAAGTTGATCTGTTAACCATTTTTTAGTGGCATCCCCCATGAGTCAATGCTAGGGCAAAAACTGCTTAATATCTCTCATAGCGACTTGGATGATGGGGTGAAGTACAGTCTTTGTCAGATTGCAGATGATTGCAAATGGGGTGGGGTGTAGCTGGAGAGCAGGGCTGCTATTCAGAGGGATTTAACAGATGAGGAAATGGGCTGACATGAACCTCATGAAGTTCACCAAGAGCAGATGCACAATCCTGCCCTGGGATGGAGTAACCCCACGGAGCAGTACAGGCTGGGACTAGCTGGCTGGAAAGCAGCTTTGCTGAAAAGGACCTGGGGGTGACAAGTTGTGCCTGAGTGAGCAGTGTGCCCTGGGGCAAGGAAGGCCAACCACACCCCAGGCTGTATGAACAGGAGTGTAGCCAGCAGGCTGAGGGAGGTGCATCTTCCTCTCTATTAAGCCTTTGTGAGACCACAGCAAGAGTCCTGTGCCCAGGTTTTGGGCTCCCCGCAATGAAGTCATTGATGTCCTGGAGCAAGTCTAGCGGAGGGCTGCCAAGGAGAGGCTGAGAGGGCTGGTTTTGCTCAGTGTTAAGAGAAGGCTGAGATGGGTCTTACTGTACTCTACAGCCGTGTCGTGGTAGGGTGTACGGAAGGCAGTGCCATGCTCCTCTTGGAGGTCTGAGTGAAAGGACGAGAGGCAGCAGACATAGATTGTAGCAGGGAAAAATTCTGACTATATAGTAGGAATTTTTTTTTTTTTCTCACCATGAGGGTGATCAAACATTGGAGCAGGGTGCTCAGGGAGGCTGGGGAATCTCCATCTTTGGAGATAAAACTTCCCTGGACAACCTGATCTCGGTTACCTGCCTTGATGGGGGTGGGACCAGGTGGCCTCCAGAGGTCCTTTCTAACCTACATTATTCTCTAATGCTGTGACCTTGAGCATTACTTTGGAAAGTTGCTTTCAGCTAAAGAGGAAGCTGCTGTATTAATTGTTTAAACAGAAGTTTTGCAAGCCTTACAATATTTTCCTAGTTCTCTGCTATGCCTGACTGTCTGTCACGTATATTTAACTAAGGAGGGCTCTCTTTTAATAAATTTGGCATTAAAAAGCTATGGCTCAGAAGCAACTGAATCAAGTGACTAAGCATGTTTTAAGGACTAGAATTAGATTTCCCAGTTGTGTATGTTAACCTAAGTGTTTTAGTTGTGTTCTGGAAATAACATGTTTTTATACTGCTTAAATACCTTTTCACCTAGACAGGCCTTAGCAGTGAACAGGGACTCTTCATTGTCCCTGTTGATTGTAACTTACTTTTTTTTGGTTTTTTTGACTTTAGAATATCTTCTTGCATATTGTGGATATATCAAATCCCAAGGAAATCTGGAAGTTTGCCGAAAAATTCAAAAATGAACATAAATTAAATGTGTTGGTAAGTTTGCGTACTTAAATCATGTGTCTGTCTTTGGAGTGCGTAGCCTATGAATTGTCCAACAGGTAGTACAGATTTCACAATTTGGCCCACAATTCTCTGCTTAATTTTCTCTAAATGTTTTTGCAGTAGTCTCCATGGTCTGTTTGCTCTTGTCGATTCTCAGTTCACATACACCGATATGATAGAAAAAAGGGAGAAAAGCAGTAATTTTTTAGCTGCATCTTTTAAGGTTATTACCACACATTTTCTGTTTGACTTCCATTGCTAATAACTTTGTCCCTCTTAAAGCTAGTCCTTCTTAAAGATTAAACTTTTATAGAAAGTCTAGTTAGAGCAGTCTAAAACAGAGCCAGGGAGAGAGCAAATGCTTAAGCAGTGTGGCTGGCAAGGGGCTCAGTACTCTTTCCCCTTTATTTAGCAGTGAAAATTTGCTCTGGGGCCTGTACTAAAACTGAGGCACTTGGAGCTGTTGTTTTGGTGCTTACTAGATGAGGAAATTCTGATAGAAATGGGAAAATAGCTTTTGAGGAGTAGCAGGGAACGAGCAGGAAGGTATGTAGGGGCAGATCTCCTTTCGAGGTGGGAAAGAAAAGCTCGAGCTTCCTCTGGAGGGTAAGGCAGAGAAAGAAGTGTGTCTGAGAATATGCTAGCTGCACACAGCTTGCAAGCTTCAGACTGTTCATGAGGTTTTACCTTAGAGTGCCAGGCAGAGAGAAAAGCTGGGGTCCCTACAACCAGGGCACAAAGTCAGTATGAAGTACCTCTGCTGGTTAGCTGTGCTCTTCTCAAGGCTAACTAGGATGCACCAACTTGCTGACCTGGCTAATTTACCAAGTTTGGGGCTAATTCTTTTAATTTGCTGAGGGTGGGGAGTTCCCGGAGGCCATTCTGCTGCATGTTGCACAGCTTCCATAGTGAATTTTCCCCTAACAGAGAATACATCACCATGTAGCGTGATGATGTGGGGTTGATATGGTCTCTCAGATGAGACTAACTATACTACATATTTATGTTCTAATATCCGCTCTACAACTTGCATATTACCTTCTGTGAGAAGAGAGTTTAAAAGCATGGAGTAAGGCACTAAGACGACTGAGGGCTCTTAGTGTAATACATCTGTGGTGAGCCATTTCTCTGAAGATCCTTTCTTTTGTGAAAAACCTTTATGATCAGTGACAGAGTGGTGTGATTTGGAATAGCATGTTTTATTAAAAGAGTTTGTAGCTTTGTGTTGCAGTGTCAGAAAACAGCAAAGTAACATGGACTGCTTGTATGTGTGGTTTTGTTTGTAGATGTCTCTGTAGATTGTTTTTGTTTACAGGAGTTGTCTTACAGATCAACAATGCAGGATGTATGGTGAATAATAGAGAATTAACTGAAGATGGACTTGAAAAAAACTTTGCAACAAACACTTTGGGTGAGTATTGAAGGCTTAGTTCTGAAATGTACTTACTTTGGTTACAGAAATGTGTTTTAACAGCTGGGTTCATGAGGTATGTATTCCTGCTCAAAGATGGATCCTACCATTGCTATGCCAGGGAAGGAGCAGGAAAGGAAAAGAAGAAATATTACAGCATGTTTGGAGTGTCATTTTTTAATTTCTTCATTTTTCAGTTGTCCTCATATCAGTGCCTTTATTTATCATAGCAGCAGTGGACAAATGCAGATAAGATTTAATTAAATTGATTCTGAAATTTGTTAGGAAACTTTGTTCCAAGCAGTGCCACTAATGATACCCTCTTTGTAATAAGTGTGCTCCTGTGACTTGAATAGAGCTTGGAGCATGTTCAGATATTTTAAAGAGACGTTCAAATGTTTCAGTAGGCTTGAACAGCCCTGTTTGATGTGACAGAGGCACTGTGTAGGAAGGCTGTGCCTTATCTAGTGCCCTGGACACTCTCAAACAGATGCAACATCTAGTCAAGTGATTGAGCAGTACTGGATAAGTCTTAGGCACTCCACATCTCATGGTGTATCCCATGAACTGTGTGGTGGAGGTATAAGAGGGACAAATTAAGGGAAGCAAATAAAGGGGGAAAGAGGAGATGTGGGTGAGCAGGGAAGACTGTGAGCAAAGTGGAAGGTTCCCCCATAAAAGCCATGGAAAAGATGTGAGCAAACAGCCAGCCAGCAGGGAGAAGAGCTGTCTGTCGCCACCGCTATCTATAGGGCTGAAAGCTGCACCTCTTGCAATGAGAGATGTGGTGCTTGCATCAACGAACACTCCTGACACTCTTTTTCCCTCTGCCTCCATGCAGGGTAGGTGGCTTTCCCGAGAGACTGTCTCTAATATATTCAGAAGTGACATGTTAAGGAGGAGCTGTGGTGCTTTGTTTCTCTGTTTTCCTCCTGTTCATCAGTATCTGGGACAAGGAAGGGAGAAGCTTAGGATATAAAGGTCGGGCATTTATAGAACTAATACAGCCTGGAAACCATTGTGGGGTTTTATCCTTAGCCTTTTTCCTGTGTTGCTTCCTTAACTCCTATTTACTTTTGAAAACTAACATTTTAAGTATAAATGTCTTGTGCTTAGCTGATATGGTGCATATAGCATTTTTTTCTGCAAGTCTGACTACATTAAACTGACAACTAATTCAAGTATAAAGACACAGATTCATTTTCCTCGAATTAATTTTCTGCTAACATTCTTCTGTTTCTCATGCTCAAAATTCAAAATTAATTTTATTTTTCCATCAAATTTCCCTTGGCTGCAGGAGTACAAGAACTTCTACCTTGAGCAATTTATTCACCTTAAATTAGTTTAACCCTCTTGTGGTCTTTCAAAGAAAAATCCAGCAATGTGCAAAGGTGCAGTTCTTCCAGAGAGAAGTGGAGTGAAACAAATACAACAGTCTGAACATGAAAGCATGTTTTGGTTTATTTTTAAACATTGAGGAAAGTAATTGCTGAGGAACTGTACTCGTGCATCACTTGAACTGGATTTTATCACGCATGTAGAAGCAGCAAATTCTGCTTTACCAGTTGTAAATCAGCCTCACTAGAGATATACAGCTGCACAGAGGAAGCTGAATTACGATTGTAGTGAACTAGGAAAATGCCTGTATTATCTTTTGTGAATGTTACATATAGATGTCCTTTATTCATGTGTGTATCACTTGCTGCATGACTGTATAAGAAGGTCAAGGAGGTGATGGCACATTTGAGCAGATAAAGTAAAACAGGTAAGTCATCCTCTGACCAACTTCTGCAGAGTTCGAACAAGGAATAGGTTGTTTGCTTAGACTGGTTCTCTCTAGGCAACAATAATGATTACATTTTGAAGCTTTTAGAACAGAGTGGGACTTGCTTGAGCTGGAAGAGGCTGTCTGTGCAAGGGAAAGCTCTGTGCTTGAAGGTCAGACACACATGAAGGACCAATGCTATCAACAGCACAGGTTTCTTTTTTCTTCAGTGTCAGAGAAGGGGTAATAAATGATATCTGCTGGAGTCATAGTAGGAGAAGGCTATATGGAGAAATGCATGTCAGAGCAGATTCTGTGTTAAGTCATTTCCCTAAGCACTAGGTACCTTTGGGTGTGCTTTACTTTGGAGAAGTTATTTCTGTATCAGTAACTATCTGTGGTTATAGGTTCCCAGAGAAAAACTTTGCTAAATTAGATATGGCTGGTATATAGGTTGGCTGTAAACTAGAATGTGGTCTGAGAGAGCAAACTAAATTCCCCTCTCTGCTTCTTTCCCCAGAAAAGCTAAAGCCTGAAGGGTGACAGGGGCTCAAGGCCCCTGTTTTGAAAATCTGCAGTTGTTCCCCTCATCAGCAGCATGGAAACAATAACTTGTGACTGCCTGATTTCTGTAGAAATAAGATGGAATAATACTAATATTTTTTTCAGATCTTCACATGCAGGGCGTTCCTTCCATCTTTCTTTGACTGTTTCTACCCTGGATATTGGCTTTGGTCTAGTAAAGGAGTGTAGGTTGTAACTGTCTAAGAATGCAAGACTCTGAACTATAACATGCTGGACTGCAGCACTGGATGGCTATAAGCTCTTCAGAAGGGATAGGCAAGGAAGGAGAGGTGGTGGGGTGGCTCTGTATGTTAGGGAGTGTTTTGATTGTATAGAGCTCAACAATCGTGATGGTAAGGTTGAGCGCTTATGGGTAAGGATGAGGGGGAAGGCCCACAAGGCAGATGTCCTGCTGGGAGTCTGTTATAGACCACCCAACCAGGATGAAGGGGTAGATGAAGCATTCTGTAAGTGGCTGGCAGAAGTCTCACAATTGCCAGCCCTTGTTCTTGTTGGGAACTTCAACTTGCCAGACATCTGCTGGAAATACAACACAGCAGAGAGGAAACAGTCTAGGAGGTTCCCAGGGTGTGTGGAAGATAACTTTCTGACACAGCTGGTAAGTGAGCCTATCAGGGGAGGTCCCTCGCTTGACCTGCTGTTTAGAAACAGCGAAGGACTCGTGGGGGATGTCGTGGTCGGAGGCCATCTTGAGCTTAGCGAAGACTTCTTGGTGAAGTAAGGGGGAGGGCCAGTAAAACCACTACCATGGACTTCCACAAGGCAGACTATGTGTTCGGGACACTGGTTGGGAAAGTCCCTTGGGAGGCAGTCCTGATGGGCAAAGGGGTCCAAGGAAGGCTGGGCATTCTTCAAGAAGGAAGACTTAAAGGCGCAGGAGCAGCCGGTCCCCATGTGCTGTAAGATGAACCGGCAGGGAAGACAACTGGCCTGGCTGAACAGGAAGCTTTTGCTTGGACTCAGGGGAAAAAAGGAGAGTTTACCACCTTTGGAAGAAGTGGCAGGCAGCTCAAGAAGAGTACAGAGATCTCGTTAGGTCATGCAGAGAGGAAATTAGAAAGCCAAAAGCCCAGCTAGAACTCATTCTGGCCACTGTTGTAAGAGAGAATAAAAAAAATGTTTCTACAAATACATTAACAACAAAAAGAGAGCCAAGGAGAATCTCCATTTTTTATTGGATGTGGGGGGGGAACATTGCCACCAAGGATGAGGAAAAGGCTGAGGTACTTAATGCCTTCCTTCCCTCAGTCTTTAATAGCCAGACCAGTTATCCCCAGGGCATTCGGCCCCCTGAGCTGGAAGACAGGGATGGGGAGCAGAGCCCTCATAGTCCAGGAGGAAGCAGTTAATGACCTGCTATGCCACCTGGACACTCACAAGTCTATGGGGCCGGATGGGATCCGCCCGAGAGTACTGAGGGAACTGGTGGAGGAGCTTACCAAGCCACTCTCCGTTATCTATCAGCAGTCCTGGTTAATAGGGGAGGTCCCAGACAACTGGAGGCTTGCCAATGTGACGCCCGTCTACCAGAAGGGCTGGAAAGCGGATCC